CCACCCCACCCCACCCTACGTCGCGCAGGTGTCGTGGCAGCGGCTGCGCGACAGTGTGCGCATCCCCCTGTACGGCTGCGACTGCTACGCATACGGCCTGCTGGCTGCGGGGCACTGTGACCTGGTGGTGGAGGCCGACCTCAAGCCCTACGACTACATGGCACTGGTGCCCATCATACAGGTGTGGGGGGGGGGGTGGACCACCTGAACTCCTTGCCGGGCTGAGACGCGTGTCGAGCCCCAGTGATCAGCAGGCAAGGGATCGGTTCAACAGCGAGAGGGTGTTAGACGGGATGAGGGGCTTGGTCTATGCGCAGAAGGTGCGCAATCTACACATGCCGCCGTCGCTGTCGCCGTCGCTCTCGCGGGCTGAGCCGGTTGCACGCCGCGCTCCCGCACGCGCAGGGCGCGGGCGGCGTGATTACGGACTGGGCGGGGCGGCCGCTGATGTGGCACCCGCAGAGCGCGGACGCCCAGGTATCCCCGGGGGAGGTGCTGGCAGCGGGCGACGCGCGGGTGCACGCGCAGGCCATGAGCATCCTGGACTGGCGGTGACTGCGCGGACGTGAACAGCTTGGCTGCCGACGTTATTTCTGGTGAATGTGCCTGTACGTATAAGGCGGCTTTATGTGTGAATGCTAAGCTCTGTGAATTGAACATACAGAACCGTGTTTTGATATGGTTCTGGCAGTTACTGTACTTGAAGAACACGGGCACGTCTGGTCCCTCGGCTCCAAGTGTGTGAAGCACACACACGAGCGACTCTTGTCCCCAGGTGGGGGGCCTGCAGGGCTGGGGCTGTTTCTGCCTCCAGAACGCAGCGGCCAGAGCACCACAGGGAAATAGTAGGCGTTGTCACGCTCAGGAATGCAGCCTTGCAAATGCCTGCGCCCGACAACAGCACCCAACCACCATTGCGTTGGCACCCGCAATTTTGCTGGGTGACCCCTTGCCCGCTGCAGCGTCGCAGCCATCATGCATGCCAGCCTGCCAGAGTAGCGCTTGATCACGAACAGCTTTTCAAGGACCTCTGCTCGCAGAGCGGGCTTGTGTATGCACGCCGGCAACAGAGATAAGTCGATTTTCTAAGGCCACTCGAAACCACAGCAGCGCCGGCTTCCCTGCGAACCTTAAGCTTTCCAAAAGCATGCCTGGCCTCATGACCGGTCGCCAGGCCGGGAGGCTCGGCACCAAGGTAGCCCAGCAGAGATCGCGTGCGTCCTCCGGCCCCAAGCGCACAAACAAGGTGCGCGCACGTTGTTCGCCATCGCTTAGTTTCTAGGATGACGGACGGCTTCCTGCCTCACCTGGTGATGCTGGCCAACGCGGACCCTTGCTGACGAGCGCCTACCCGCGCACACTCATGGGACCACGCTCGCGACGCACAGGGGGCCCTCTGCCAGGCTGCATACAGTGGCCACTCCGGCTGGCCTCCCTCTGAGCACTCACCGGCGGGTAGTAGCAGTGGCAACCGCACTGTCGCCAACGCCGCCGCACCTGCAGCAGCAGCTGCACAGGTGGCATTGCCCGTGCCGACCCTGGACGACGCCACGGCCAGGCTGCTGGAGGGAGTCGTCGGCCTGGCAGCGGCGCGCACAGAGCCGCAACAGCAGCCGCCCACGCCCGCCCCTCGGCAGCGCCTTGCAGGCGGCGACGCCGCAGTCGTCGCCGCCGCTGCCGCCACAGCCCACCCCGCCCCCACCCTACTGGAGCCCGACGCGGGCGATTTCGGCAGCTTTGTGGCGCAGGTCGAGCGCTGGGTTGCGGCCGGGAAGCAGCCCAATGAGTCTACGTGGCAGCGGCTCGAGCGGTGAGTGGCCAGGCATCCGGCCAGAGGTCCCGACCCAGCCAGACACCCATCCTCACTGCACACCCCAGTACTGCATGCTGACATGCGCTTGTTGGCCCACACACACCCCCCCCTCACCCGCCCCACCTTTTGCAGGGACTCCCACCCGCTGCTGCGTGGCGCCGCGCCCCAGTCGGTGGCCGCCCTGATCACCTCAATGTGCGCCGCCAACCGCCGCCCGTCAGCCGGCTGGCTCGCGGCGGCGCAGCACGAGCTCGCCGCCGCCTCGGAGCGCGGCGACGCGGCGCCGCACTCTGTCGCCGCGTGGGCCGCCGTGCTGTCGGCGCTGGCCAAGTGCGGCGCCGTCGAGCGCCGCTGCTCCAAGGCCGCGCTCGCAGACACCGCGCAGCAGCTGCAGTCGGCGCCGGCGCCCGCGGTCGCGCAGATGCTGTGGGCAGTCGCCAAGGCGCGCGCCACGCCGTCGCCGTCGTGGCTGCGGGGCCTGCGCGCCGCGCTGGAGCGCGGCGCCCCGGACCTGAGTGCGCCGCAGCTGGCGGGCTGCCTGCGGTCGCTGGCGTTCCTGGCTGACCGCGTGGACGAGGGCGAGCTGCGCGGCACCGCGGCGCGCCTCGCGGAGCAGCTGGCGCTGCGGCCGGGGGGCGGCGGGGCGGGGCCAGGGGAGCTGTCGCAGGCGCTGTGGGCGCTGGCGAGGTGTGTTTGTGTGGGGGGGGTATGGGGAGAGTCGTTCAGGAGGGTGCTCTCCCCGGGATTCAAGGGCTTGGCCGGAGTGGGGCTATGTATGGTGCTGAGCCAAGCTTGAGCGCACCTGCCAGGCAATGCTGCGCGGTGGCCGCGCATCAGGGCTGCAGCCTTGCCTGAGCTGATAACTGGGCAGTCGTTGCCCGCCCTTTACGGAAGTTGGGGCCACTCTGATCCAGGCCCATCTCTGCCCGCCCTCCCCCCCCCC